ATATATATATACTAAAATAAACTACTACTTGGTACTTGTACTACTATTTCTACTTTGCAGCTTTTCACTTATCGCGAGTCTTCAGGGTACGGATCCCCCGCGATAAACGAGGGACTACTGTTTTAAGGAAAATTGTAGAAATACTTACAAAGCAAAATTAAGAAGTGCTTCCCCACCAAGTACCGTACGGCCTCTGGAGCGTAAGTAATCAACTAAACAGCCCTGAAAACAACAAACCGGACATAATCTTGAATCTTTTTATCAGAATTTATGACATCATATTTTCCAGAAGTCAACAGATAAACAGTGAGCCACCTACCTTGGCCATATACTCAGTAACTATAAAAAGACTTCCGTTCTCCTCCACAATCACTCCAAGCAGCTGGACCAGGTTATTGTGGCGTAGTTGCCTAACCAAAAAAGAACACCAACAAGTTAATATAATGTATTTCCCATTTAACAATGTTAATAATAAATAAACATTTAAACTCCTTACGTCATGACAGAGGCTTCTGCAATAAAGGCCTGTGCTGTAGCATCATGTTTTATGCACTTCACTGCTACTTTCTTCCCTCTATAGTCTCCCATCATGACATCTGGAGTAATCATCAAACACTTGCATTAAACATCAGCGAATCAGTGATTTAAGAGGCCGAGCTGGGAAAAACGAAACAACATGCAATATTTTGATACCCAATCATGTTACTTGCCTCCAAATTCTCCTTTTCCAATAACCTGATGCAGCTTCAGCTCCTTCCTGTTCATCGACCATCCACCTGGTGGCCATTTAAAGAGGAGAAAATGTGCAGGTGAGACATAAAACACACATGCACTGATAAACGGGAAGTCTACACTGTTACAGATGACTAAATCATAAAAGACTGAGACGTACTCCTGGAAAACTCATCCTGAGCGGCCACAGTTCCTTCCTCCAGTTTTGGCTTGATAAGTTTGGTGCACAGACCGTCAGCATCTTTGGTGTAGTGCTGGATACAATAAAAACACAAGATATGTGAAGATGCACACAGTCCAAACATACAGATGCAAAAAGAAAACAACACTTTGCTTTGGCAAATTTGAAAAGATGGCATTTATTGCATTCTAAAGAACACTTAAATGTTTTTCAATAAACTAAAAGGTCTGGCCTCACAGCTCAGTCTGTCAGTGAGTTTCAGTTCAGTTTAAATGAACAATGTGTACAAAACTGCTTCAATTCCTCATTAATATTATGCCTACAACACATGGAGATGAAGTGTCAAGAACAGTAGTGGGGGAGTGTTACAAAAACAACATATTTTTAGTAAACAAATTGTAATGATATACATTTTCATCAAACTCTAACAACTGGTGACTGTCTGTACAGAAGTTAAAAACCTTTTATATACACACACATATACATAAATAAATATGTGTGTGTGTATATATATAAATGTATGTATATTTATATATCTTTATATATATATATATATATATATGTATATATATATCTATATATCCATCCATCCATTATCTTTACCCGTTTATTCCATTTTGGGTCACGGGGGTCGCTGGTGCCCATGTCCAGCAATCACTGTGCGAAGGGCGGGGTACACCCTGGACGGGTCGCAAGTCCATCACAGGGACACATAGAGACAAACGAGACAAACAACCATTCACTCTCTCACTCACACCTAGGGACAATTTAGAGTTACCAATCAGCCTAACATGCATGTTTTTGGACTGTGGGAGGAAACCGGAGTACCCGAAGAAAACCCACGCATGCACGGAGAGAACATGCAAACTCCACCCAGAAGGCCCCTGGACCGGGGTTTGAACCAGGAACCTGTTCGTTGAGAGGCAGCAGCTCTACCAGTTGCGCCACCGTGCTGCCCTATATCTATAGATATATCTATATATCTATAGATATATACAGTATATATGTATATTTGTATATGTATATATATAATATATATATT